CCGTCACGTTCGTTTCCATTGAATCGATTGGAACTGGAGTCAAGAGTGAAAGAAGTGGAGCAAAAAATACAAAATTTTAAACACGAGGTTGTAGAAAAGTTTAATGAAATGCGGTAAGTGAACACTGTTTTGGTTATTCACTTCTGGCGTTTGATGACATTTGGGTTACGTAATCACTAAAATGACCTCAGTGTAATTGTGGGTTATAATTTTCACGGGTAAATACTGCAATGGAAATATTTGTGATAATCGACAAAGAACAGCTGAACAGCTGTTTCATCCTGTTTTTGGGACTCGTCAGCAGTGCGTACTTTCTGTGTCCCTGTCAAGACTCAAACCTCGAACATGCATTCAGCTAGTGGGGAATTGACGATCTCCCAAGAAGTGAAATCCACACCCAAGACCATTAAGAGTCTCTGGTGCCTCTAATGGGCTCATCGAAGCATGATCCTGTAAAAGCTACAATGTCCCATCGTAGAGCAAATATTGTTGTGACAATTGGTTAAGTTCGCAATGTTCCCAGCTGAGTTACAACTTTAGAAGCTAGAACGAGGTGTGATAACCACAAATATAGGTTGTACTATGTCGTATACAAGAAAAGAAATATAGATTGAAACACTGGATCCATCGCATCAAAACTGAAAGAAGACATGTCGCTGATGTAAAACAAACAAGCATGTTCACAGCACATTGGCTTTACCAGTCCTGGTGGGCTGATTGGATCAACAACTTTTGGGCGCACAGAACGGGATGATGTAATCGGATTGCCAACAGTTTTACATTGCGGTTATGTAACAACGGTTTGAAAGAGGAAGCGGGATCAATTATGTGTTTGGTTGTCATGACGTGTTTTGCGATTGATGACCCGGGGTTATGTGTGACGACTTGGTTACCGGGTCTGGGTTGCGTCATCGGCTTCACCAACCACTTTGGAATGTGTTCGCCCATCCACTGTGATTGACAGTTGGTTCTGCCTATGTATGCATCACCGTAATCGCAGGTAAACTGGTTTACAGTGTGTAAGACAGAACTGGATTGCAAACTATGTACTCGTTTGTCCAAATCGATTCTGTGAGTAGAGGCAATAAGTCGAATTTGAGCAGTGAGGACTGCGCGGCTCAATGCTGGCTTTAAATTTTAGCGCGTATCGTTCAGAAGATGATCGCCCTTAAAAAACCGTTTGATGTAAACGGTTTCCTACGGAACAGTTGGCGATGGGTTACCTTTTTGAGATGGTTTACCATATCAATGACTCTTCCGTGGTAACCGTTTTGTAGCAGCGTTCTCTTTAGAAATTCTCGTAATGTGTCTGGAGAACAAATGTTTCTGACTCGATGGAACAGTTTTGACGAGTCCATGTCTTGCAAACGTGAACTCGTAAAAGCTCTGTTCCAACAGATGACGTGGAGTCGTGGTATGAAGAAATGCACAGAGCGATCAGGTAGAATAGGTTTCTTTCGTCTTTCAGGTTGGGGTCCAAAAGACCATAACTGTTTGGTGGAAGACGTTGAAGGATATGGCAACGAATTGACACCAGTAGCGTTCTTATCAGATAATAATGCATGAAAAGGTATATGTGCACAGTTAGGTTGAGGACTATGTGTCGACCATGAAGTTACTCTTTATTTGTCCCTCTCTCAAAATAGACCTGAAATATTCTCACTAACTTTGTAAACATTGCAAGTTTGGTAACGATCAGTGAATTTCACTTCTTTGAACTTCGCTGTACGATGATGAAATGCCCACTTACATGTTATGTGCACTTTGAAATTAATTAAGTTTTTCCCGCAAATGGGGAATCTATATTAATCAACTGACAGATTTTCCCCCTTAGAACATAGTTTTGAAAATCTGAAGTCACCCTCACCGAGCGAGAAAGTTGTCCTTGTCCCGAACAAATTCATGCACAAAAACATTAGGTTTTCAAACTATCCCACAGGAAGCGCCGTATCTTTCGTTTATCGGTGATCAGCTACTTGTTCTTATTCCTAATTAGACATTCGCTCATATGCGGGATTATTCCTTTGAATGTTGTTTCTCTTTCTACATTTACAGACGCCTGGAAAGCGCTTGTCAGACGGCCTCGGGTACTATACATCGTTTGGTTGAAGCTCGGACACAATCCATGAAACAAGTCGCTTCGCTGAGCACAGTGGTAAATAAAGCGATCCATGGAATTCAATCTCTCCTCGAACGAGTTGAGGGTTTGGAAAAAGTGAGCCATTTGTGTATGGAGTCCTCCCTGAGTGACCTTTACAGGAACTCCACTTTCACGAAGAAACCATAACCTGACTGCCTGCACCATTATAACCGATACATAACAGCTTTTTACGTGTAAAAACAACATCGGAGGGTGTGGGCTAGATGAACCCCAGTATCCTTGTCTTCCATGTTCGGTTTCGATTAAAGAAAAGTGGAAATTTCTGAATAACTAAATGACTGAAGTCAGCGGTCTAGGCTGGGCATCTACTGCTATCTTGTGGTTAGTGTTTTGGTTCATGGTGAAATTTTGTTCGAGGTTATTAACTAATTTCTTTCTTATCGGTTGAAATCGTTTCAGCTGCATATCTAAAGGGCTCCAGTGGTAATTGAGAGCATGTTTATGCCCCAACTGATGAGGCTTTTCTCTTCCTTTGTACAGCAGAAGCTTTTTGAATTAAGGTCTTGTTATTTTTTATGAGGGTATATATTCATATCTATTATATTTTTGGAAGAGACAATGAATCCATAGTATTCTGTGACGGTTTTTGGTGTTGATTAAAATTGGATCAGCTGTGGGTTTTTGCTGTCAGTGTAATCAAGGGTTTTCACATTAATGCTTTGTTTACTGACAATTTTGAAAGTAGTGTATGGAGTCATGCGAAATGAAATGATGCACTCTGGGGTACAGATATACAGAACTTCTTTTGTGGATAATTTTCATTTTTGAATAACCGTTTTTGTGCAAGTGGGTAGTGTGGTAAACTTTGTTTAATATATTTTAGATTTTGTATGAAAAGTTATCAGCTACCAAGAATGGACTGTGCACAATACAAACAACGGTGTTAAAGGTGAGTGTACGCATATGCATAGGGTTGAAGATACTTTTTTGCATTGCACGTATTTTCCAATTGAGATTCCACGTAAACAAGTAATACGATAAGTGCGATCGGTATTTTGCATTTCTAGTGCAGTTACTGTTCAGGAAACGTCTTATATAACTCTTTGTCGTTTGACAGTTAGGGTAGGATTCACTGGCAATCATCTTTCTCGCTGTTTTCACATCATGAGGGTCACTGTTTTCACTGTTAAATGTTGATATTTATGATCGATAAGATTGTTTCTGTGGTGACCATGGCAAGATTTTTTTACCAGTAATGTCACGGTGACATCATATGAGAGAGTTGTTTATCATTTGATCGCATTCATTCATGTTAGCCATCTACCGTAGGCACCAGTGGCCAAACACCTCCAACTTCTATTCCACTGCAACATACTTTATCCTCGTCCCACAGCCGTAGGTAAGTGTCGGAAGTTTGTAGTCCGGTAAAAGGGAATTTTAATCTGACAGCGATTCCTGTTGCGCTGTCCGAGCGTTTTGCGAAGATGCAGAAGTGCCCTCGTGGCATTATCTGCGCGCAATTGAACTTAGTTTATCACCTGACCAGTTGGCAGAAGCGATGGAGCCCGATTGAATGAAATCCAACGTGCAATCGACTTGTTGGCCGTCGCCAAACGGCTGTGCAGATGATATATGTGCGGAGAAAACTTACTCCCCGATATATTAATATCCGAACTATTTTTCTTCGCCAAGCGGTTTGCGCGGATCAAAGCTGGACAAAAATTGGTTTTGTGTCTCATCCAAGATAACAATATCTTCCGAAAATTCCATATCTATATTTCGGACTAAGCTGAATACTGGAATAATCGGGAAGTGCTTTGAGCATCACCAAGTTTATCCCATAGTCAAGCAGCACCAGTGATAGAGTGCAACCCTTTTGAGCACCGGAATTTTGAGCGAAGCTGTGTGATTCCTCTCCGTACACACGAATTCCTCCTGTGTATTTGAATTAAGTGATTTGCAAAGATTCGAAATATTGTCCGGCATTCCATCAGCTTGCAGTATTTTCTAAAGTGACTCCCTGTTTACCGAATCAAATGCACCGCGTAAATTGACGAAGGCCGCTCTTGTAGGTTGTTGAAATTTGTGGCGATTCTCCAAGACCCTGCGGGAGATGAAAATTTGATATGCTCATCTTCCGACCTCAAGCGAACCCCCGTTTCAGATGTATGTGGCTAGTTCGTATTTTGGCAAAGTGAATTAACAGAATATCTTAGCGACCATGGCGATCAAAGTAATACCTCGGCAGTTGGTTTACACCTTGTCCCTCTTCTTGGTTAATGGAATCAGGATGAAAATAGCTGGTTCTCCCAGATTCAGTGAATTAATGTGTGTAATAATTCTAGCGTGGTTGAAAGGCACCCGTTGTCTACCTTAAGGATGTTGTTTTTGGGGGCGTGTGCTCACTAATTGATTGTGCTTGTCAAAGTTGACTAGGTGCTCACCGTTTCCACAACGTTTTCCACAACCAAACTTTCCCTCGATATACTGTGCGATCAGATTAGTATGGTCTATAATGGTATTTCAATCTCCTTCTACGAGAAGGGTATTTTTCTGCCCTCGGTGGGACACTTCCCATAGTTGGTTGTTGAAGTTATTCTTCGCCTTTTTCTTTGTCACCGATTTCGGTTCAAAAATAGAAATCGCCGCTATGTTTAAGACAGTGGAATACAAAGTGACGGATATCTTTCGCGGCGTCCTCTCTATCCTTTGCATCCCCAAGTCCGACTTGCAAGCATCAGGGTTGTTCGTTTTGCTGCGATTCAGAAGATACTTAAAAGCCCTCCATCTGGGTTGGCCCCGCCTGTCGCGCGGTACGCAGGGTGTGGCACTGCCGCTGTTGTGGAACCAACAGGTGGCAGTTGAGTGGAGACCAAAGACAAAGGTGTTGCCCCATTTAAGCGACAAAACTTACTGCCGGAGGTACTACTCCTCTCCAACACTTCATTTACGGCTTCCCGGGGCTGCGAGTTGTTTGTGGATATGGTGGGTATGTGTCTGGGGTATCGCAAAAGTGTGCACAAATAAAATGTATATTAAATCAGGCAAAAACCCTAAATGCACACAGACTGGCCCGATGCCTTTGAATTCGCGGGAGTTAATCCATAGCTATAATCATTTTATTGTCATTTAGCCACCGCACAACTAATGTCTGTTTTCCGTTCACCCGAGAAACTTTATTCATCTTTCCATCCTTTTGAGGCTGAGATTGAACTTGGAACGTACAACACGTGTGTCCCTCTCAATCTGAAACACACCAATCGATTCGTATGCTAATTGATATTTCGGACCGCCCGTCCGTATTCATTCAGTTGATCGATGTTTTTTGCGTTACTGTATTCGAAAAGTAGTCTTAGCACGAAAAAGATACTTTTGGTGTTTCAGTTTAATAAGTCAATAGTTACACGGTGAAGTAGGCAATTCGTTTATTTGTAGCTCGATCACGGGTTGCCGGTCTGTAGGTCGGCAAGCAACCAAAAACTTGAGCGTTCAACCAGATACAAAAACGGAATCAAATTTGATAAGGTTATCGACGTTTGTCGCGGCAAGCGTCAGTTGTTGTGTCCTGTCCTCCAGCATGTATATTTATACACATGTATACACCTATTCACAGCTGTTCGCACTCGTTCCCATCTGTCATAAAACATGTGATCCCTCGTATCCATCCTCCGATCGAGGTTGTTAGATCATTGGAATTTTACGCGCCGCATTCTTTTTTGTCGGTTTAATCAATAAAATAGAGGTTTTCACCCACTATTCCCAAGCTTTGGATACTGCACCAGCCAATCGATCTGTGGTGCTTTTTCTTCCTTTTACCATTTTTTTTCGTCATGCTATTCATTTAAATCCCCTTGTGTGATTGTAACAACCGGTCCGACTGATAACTCTGGTAGGCTGGTGCTAAAATGAGTTGGATGCTCGCGACAAGCCTCCAAATGACTATCATTGGAGTTAACAGTATGTCATCTGTGTCTCCCTTCGTTGCTGTCGGACCAAAATGAACTGACTATCACTGAAGACGACACCTGAACAAACACAAAATGGTAATTTGGTTCAGCCATGGTATGAGCTAGTTGACACAGTGGTGACGCACACGCCCTCCATGCGATGCGTTCGAAGTTCAAATCCCGGACGGGACTATGGATATGTACTACTGATGAGCTCAAATAAGAGCGAAACTCGAGTCTTGTGCTTCTGAGTGTATGGTTGAGTCGATGAACTGAGGATTGTGCGTAAAAGTGAAGTCCGAGGGATAGTCAGCTCAAATCAATAAAAATCAATTATCCCACACCGCTAGTCACAAGTAACTGTAAGTCAAATGCTAAACATCATGGAATGTTTTCTTTTTATAAAGATTGTTGTACCCTGATTTATTGGGCATACAATCGGGACTCTGACGTGTGTGAAATAAAGTATAATAGTACAGCACTACGTAGATTTTCTGTTTAGTTTTAGATGGAATATCGTTTGTGATGGTAATAGAAGGGCATTAAATGTATTTTGACCTGGTTGGAACTAATCAGCAGTTTTTGCTGTTTTTCTCATCAACAAGAAAGAACTTAGTTAAAATTTCTTTTGCTTTTTTCTCGAAAATTCCCCATATTGTCAAACCAATTTTTCGTTATTCACCTCCTACAAATTGATTTACAAAAGCTACTCTTTACAAGTGGAGATAAAATACACTTAACAACCCCTTACCACTAGTGTTTTTGAAGTTTTTCAGGACAACAAATTTTCCGAATGTAATCATTTTCCTTTCTGGAATTTCAATGCTTTCTAGGATGTAATGCATAACTAAAGGGGCAAAACATCTCTGTTCATAATATCAAGATATTCGAATATGATGTTGTGAATTACATTTGTGCGGCGTTGGCAGAGGTCCGTTTTCGCACCGATTGATATTGCTGATTTCGATGACTACATTCGAACACATCTCTAGGACTTCGTAATCCAAAAAAAAAAACATTTTGAAACGACATCGGGATTCTGTGTGCAAGTGTAAACTATTATTTCGCACAGAACGCCTTCAGTTTCCCAGAGATTCGATGTCATTCAAAAGCATTTCAGTTCTGTTCAATTATGTTTGTCTTTGCGGAGGGAACTAAGGCAATCATTTACTGCGACTGTGTGAATTTTTCTTGTCTTCACTACGCCTTGGGTGGTATTTCCTCTAGATCAAATATTCACTCATTCCTCTTATGTGATTTACAAAAAGGCAATCAGATCCTTTCCGCACCCCTTTCCGACGCACACCACAACTGAGCTCCATTCACAGTTCAATCAGACGCTAGCACAGAGAGCTCGCAATGTTCGACCGCATTTCACCACCACCACCACCACATGTGTTGTCCGGCCTTGTTCTAAGCCCCCTATCTCATCTGTTTGCATCCCAGAAAAGGAACTGACCGACTGGACACCTGGCTGTTACAGTCCCCTGTCAATTTTTATTTCAATGCATTGGACTAAACCGCAGGTGTGTATGTCTATAGCTCTCAATCAGAGTTTGTATGGAATTGCTTTCACCATCTAAGGAAACAAAATATTAAATACAAAATTTCACTTGTCTCCATTTTTTCCCTAGTTGAATGCTGATCTAATCGGTTTCAAGCAAACACATTCTGTCTGTCTCTGCTGTGAAACAGAAAACTTGGATTCGGTGCTTGAAAACGAGGGATCTGTGATAGCGACTTAAGGGTTAATCTGCACTGTCTTCTTTCTAAGTCGGGTAAACATTGGGGTAATTCTGAATTTGTCTAATCACAGTCACAATTGTTATTCTGTAAGTGGGATACACAACGCTATTCAATCTGGTAGTAGCATGTGTATAGTTTGTGCGTTGCACTTTACCCTGAACAATTAAGAAAATCAGTTATTTTTCACTTTCTTTATGTATACCAATTGTTGTGCCGAAAAATTCCATCTTTAGCTCCGGTCGACACACCTGCTGAAACATAGAACCGGAACTGCTGTAGAGGCTTTTACTCAAACCTTGCCGTCATCCGTGAGTGAAACGGCTACCCAGACAGCACCTGGTGCTCATTTCAAATCTGAATCCATGGTAAGTTCGGGGGCTCAGTGTCTTTGACTCCATGCTATGGCGTCGTTTTAAATACTCCTAAGCATTTGAATGTAGATTGGGATGCAATGTTTTGACGCCATTTATACAAAGTCGGTCCAGCGCGATTCGAGGCTTGTATGGTCTGAGCAAACTCGCGTTGTGGAGCATTGACGAGGCACGGCTTAGTGCACTGAATCTTTACCAAAACTACGCAAGAACTGTGCTGTTTCACCGATGTGAGAGTGTATCTTCCTTAGGTGTTTTCCACTTACGTCTAACCTATGCCGACGTTGTACAACAACTTCAGATTTTTCCGGAGACGTTCACACTAGAACCCATTAGAAATCGTTGCATTCTGTCGAAATTTCCCTTATCCAAGCTGTCACGAATCGATTCATTTAACTCTTCCCCTATTGACCTAATTGTGTTCAATTATCTGCGCCAACTTATCGTTGTGTAAACTTTGAAAACGCGACCTATTTTTTGCTTGAAATTTGGTGTAGAACTCATCATTAGATAAATTTTACGGCTCATCCATTTTGCGCACAAAACAGGCAAATACGTTGTGTTGCTGTTTCATCTATCCAGTCGCCGATTTTTCACTTGCATCACATTTGTTCCTATCTCCCTAGCTCGAATTTGAACGGATTCAGAATGACTGGTCAGCTCAGACCAAACAGTTACAGTCTATGATTGTCAAACTGTCCGATGAACGAGATCAACTTCAATCCCGACTACATCATCAACTGGATTTAGCCGAACGCTTGCAAAAGGTAGGTTAATGAATCCAATGGATTAGTGCCTCTTTGACTCTCTCCTCCCCCCGCCGAAGGTTTTGCACGTTCTCCCTTGTCCCGCTTGGTACATGACTATAGTGTGTCCATTTTGTTCTTGGCGCCAATGATGGCCATACATTTACTTCGTGAATGTGTATGTGTGTGAAAATCGATAGTGCAAATTGGTTTGGTGTCCAGATTGAAGCAATCCGAGTATACATAGATGTCTGTTACAAACTTGTTGAAATTCTGTGGAAAAAATGCCCGATTCGTACAGTGTTGTTTGATTTGTTTTACTTGTTTGTTTGTTCGCTTTTCACCAAAGTTGAATGACTGTTTCGTGAATAATCAATAAGTTAATTTTATTTCATCTTTCGTCGACTGTCTCGTGTAAGAGGATGAGGACTTCTTAAAGTACGGTAGAAGTTTACTGCTAATGACTGCCTCGAGGCCGTTCAGATTTTGTTTGTGGACAAACCTCCAACCTTTACATGACAAAATGTGAGCTACAAGGTAGTACACTTTTATAGTGTTGTACATAGATTCAATCCCCCCTTTCTGGTCGCTGTATCAAGAGTACGCCCCCGTCCGCCCAGTTCGCTGAAAGTATGTCATATGCAGCAATGAAACTTTGACACACCATGTCGCACGGAACCCTGATATCCTTACTTGATTTAGTTCCATTGCCAAGCGGTTACCGGAATATGGCTCTTACCACATGCGACAACTTTACGGAACCACGAGTGCGGGTTGGGTGACTGGTGGTTGAACCAGTGAAGAAGAACTATTTAGTCGAAACATTGTTGGTTCCAGCATCAGTGTTCACGCTACTGCAGGATATCCCAGTCGATCATCACATTCGAAACCGAAATAGGTTATTCTTCTTAGCCGGAATGTTTTGACTTCTCTACAATGTATCCCTCATCTTCGGCACACAGAAATGGTCAAGTTTTAAAAGGCTAGAAACGCACTTCAACTTTAGCGCGGTGGCTTAAACCTGGTTCTGATCCATATATACACACATATCGACGAGACTGCACCTTGACGCGGTGTGATGGCTTGCGCGCCTCAGTGGCCCTGCGAGCTATACAGGATGGCTTTTCACAGCCGGAGATCCAATCATGCCTGAAAGGTCAACAGGTAGAGACCAGACAAAGCTCAGTCTCACAAGCCAGCTGCTTGGGCACCTCCTGGCTTCTTCTTCTATCCACACCCGCCCCTGGAGAGGTCACTCGAGTAAAAAAACACGGTGAGGGGCAGTTTACCGGTCGAAACCCCCCGCTAGATGGACGTAGGAGCGGGGTACCTGGGGCTTCCTCTCGACGGTGGGCGAAGTCTTCGCACTTCATTGGACAGCTACCGCCCGCCCAAGCTGTGCAGCCCCCAGCCAATAAGGTGCTGTTCCGTCCACGTTCCGCTTGTCTCATTGGGTGCATGAGGCTGAGGGCTGATCCCGAAAAGCGGACCGAAAATCAACGCACCAGCGAACAACACAACCGATCGAAATTCAAAGGCCTTGCGTGACAGGTCTCTAGAAGCTCACGGCGGGTGCTTCGTTCACGCTCCCGTGTTGGATTTACGCCCCACTGCCTTGTGGGTCAGACTTTTGAGTCAAAGGCTCCGGTTAGGGTTCTCAAAGAAATACCCCTTCGTCGGTGTGGACTACCGCGAAGTATGCCGTGCCCTAAAGTCTTGGGTACCCATTTGGAAAAACATCTTTCCCATCTGTCTAGTTCTTCTCAACCCCGAATATTCCCAGATGCCTCCTGCTTACGAGACCCATCGCATATCACTCAGCGCTCAAGTAATAAGGCTATCAGATTTTTGAAATCAAAATTTCCTTTCTACTTAGCCGCACTCAATGTCCGCACACGCCCAGATCGGTCAACAAGCCGCCTTAGCCAGAACTCTTGAAACCTTCCATTTAGATGTATGCTGTGTCTCCGAAACACGCATACCAGATCCTACTTCAGTCATCTCCCTCGGTTCTCCAGATCCAGCCTCATCCTCAAGCTTCACTATCCGTGCGTCAGGCGATTCGGCATCCGAAGCTCGCGGTGTTGCTGGCATTGGGATTGCGCCAAGTGTCACGGCCGAGCGTTCACTTCCCGTCAACAGCTACAGAACGAAGTGTCGATGTTTAATCGTCGTATCCGCGTATACACCGACGGATTGCAGTTCACCAGAAATAAAGGATGAATTCTACTAGGACCTCTCTCTACTGCTCCAAAGCGCTCGGTCAACGGACGTCGTGGTGGTCGC